ACATGGGATCTGCTGCTTTCCGTGCTCTCGCACGGGCTTTTCCCCATCCCCGTTTTCAGGGAGGGCTCCTCTGTGCCCTGGCTCTCCCAAGGACAGACCTCGGCCTTTATGCTCCCTGCGCTCTCTGATTTCCTGGAAGAGGCTTTCAACCGCTCCGTGATTCCCGTGGCAGAGGAGCCCCTCGTGCCCACACTCTCCTGGGGCCGGATGGACCCGCACGCTCCGCTTTCTCTCTCCTCCTTGGATGGACTTCCACGTCCTCCGGTCTGTCTGAAAAGGCTCTGCCTTGGACTTGTGCTCTTGCTCCCTGTGGATGGAGCACCTTGAGCCTCCCTTAGTTTCTCCCCAGCTGATGGAGGCTCAACCGCCTCCCAGGGGCAGATTTCGGCTTTGCTGTTGCCCTTGCTCTCCTGTGTCTCCCACGGACAGATATCGGCCTTCTCTGTGCTCTGGGATGTCCCTGAGGCTGGTTTGGATGGTTTGGGTAGACCTGGGCTCCCAGCGCGGGGCGTCACATTGGGCTGCTCCGTGTCCGGGCTCTCCCAGGGACACATGGCCGCTGGCTCGCTCCCCCCCTGCTCCAGACTCCAGGGACCGGGCCGGGCTGGCCAAGGCCGCCTGGCGCGTGATGCACTTGTCTCCTTTTGAGATCCCCCCGGGGACCTGCTTGGCTTTTCCTTGATCTGCGGGTGGGACAGCTGCCTCCCAGGGGCAGATTTCAGCTTTGCCGCTGCCTTCGCTCTCCTGCATCTCCCACGGGCAGATGTCGGCCTTCTCTGCACTCTGAGACATCCTTGAGGGTTGTCCGGATGGTTTGGGTAGACCTGGGCTCCCAGCATGGGGTTTTATAGCAAGTTGGGCTGTGTCCAGGCTCTCCCAAGGGCAGATTTCGGCTTTACTGCCACCTTGGCTCTCCTGCATCTCCCCCGGACAAATATCGGCCTTCTCGGCGCTCTGGGATGTCCCTGAGGCTGGTTTGGATGGTTTGGGGAGAACTGGGCTCCCAGCGCGGGGCGTCACAGGGGGCTGCTCCATGTCCGGGCTCTCCCAGGGACACACGGCCGCCCGCTCGCTGCCACCCCGCTCCAGGGACCGGGCCGGGCTGGCCAAGGCCGCCTGGCGTGTGATGCGCTTCTCTGCAGGGATTTGCTCCTTTTCTTTGCCCTTCTTCTCCTCTCTCTCCACCGGGGCCTCGCTCACTTCCCAGGGGCAGATTTCTACCCTGCTGCCGGGCTCTGGCTCCTCTGCATCCCGACTCCATCCCTCTCTCCCTGCGGAGGCAGCAGATGCTCCGTGGAGGCCAGGGCTGAGGCCAGGGCCAGTCCCTGTTTTGGCAGCGGGAGGCTCCGGGCTGG